TATTATATCATCTTTTCTATTGCATAATCAACTTTATAAACTATGTAAGATTTTTTTTTTCTCTTTCCATAGAATGGAGCAGATGTACCAGAATGTCATGTCTCTATGGCACCAACTGCATGTTAACATGAAGAGCGTGGTCTCCTGGCACTACCTGCAAAAAGACATACGAAATATTGCCTCCTGGAGTCTGGACACAGTTAGTACCACAAGTTTCACCAATTTCCCATATACTCTCTTATCGCAACACTTTCAGAGGTTTATCATAAACATTTGCCTGTTTTTCTAGATGCGCTTACAGGCTCCAGCAGAGAGGCAGCAGACTTTAGACAACCTTGACGCCCACTTGTCCGACTTCCTTGCAGACAGTCGCGAGAGCTCCCTTTTCACACCAACTGAACGGCGTGAGCTAGAGAGAGAAGCTGAGAACTGCCATGAACATTGCCAAACACTACTGGTCTCTTTGGAGACAGGTAAGTTGTTATTGTGTGTATTAATTGCTTACTATGAAAGCATAAGTCATGGTGCTAAGTTTTTTTTTTTTTTTTACTCCACTTTTAGTGGAGAAGGATGAGTTGGCCTCTCGCGCTTACCTCTCCGAGCTGCAGAGCATCAAGTCCCATCTGGAGGATGCAGAGAGCAGACTGATGCGTGGCATGCAGACTCCACACCCCAGCACAATATCAGAAGTCGCAGACAATGCAGTTCACATAGCAGAGCAGGAGGTGAGGAGTGATCAGCACAACTACTCCCTCTACTGGTCAATCACCTCAATAACTGTGTATTAGTTCCAATCTGCACAACAGTTTTTAGCTGATGCACATACATAAAGCAGTCCATAGTATCTGCAATTATGGAAAATACTGTAAATTCTACAAAAATCAGAACACTGCAGTATGTGTTACTAACAGTGATCAAATTGTTTATAGTTATAGTTTACAAGTTTTGTGGTATTATTTATAGACTATTGTAATATGTATTAATGTTTTGAATTAGCTTTTATCTTTGTTTTCAATTTTCATTTTATTGCTAGAGTAGTTTTGTTATGTGTTTTTTTTCATCTTTTATGTCTGTATAGCTGTAATTTATTTGAATTAAATCATTTTTAGTACTTCAACTTAAATGTTTTTCAGTTATCTGATGTTTATATTTCATTTTATTTCAGCTTTATTTCAGTTACCGAAAATGATTTAAAAGTTTTAGTTAGCAATAACAATAGTGACCTCATTCAGTGATTTTACCATCACAGTTTTCTTTCTGTTGTTGAAATATGTTGCACTGATATAAATTCATAGTATACTATTTATATTACAAACCCGATTCCAAAAAAGTTGGGACACTGTACA